ATTAAGAAAAGGCATTTTCTGGAGTGCCTGGGTGGCTTAGTTGGTTAAGTGTCTGACCTCAGCTCAGGTCATGATCTCGTGGTTTGTGAGTTCGAGCCCTGCATCAGGCTCTGTGATGACAGCTCAGAGCCTGGAGCCTGCTTCAGATTCTGTGTCTCCCTCTCTGCCCCTCCTCTGCTCGCGCTCTCTCAAAAATAAACATTAAAAAAAACCTTTAAAAGTCATTTTTTTTGGATAGGTACTTAAATAGTAAAACTATCAAAAATTTTTTTCAGTGAAAATATGAGTTTTGATTTTTTTTTTCCCTAGTAATTCTTTTTTTTTCTTTTGGATTCTGTTTGGAATCTTGAGTAGGGGAATGGGTTCCTAATCCTTTTTTCTCACTCTGGATGGATTCTCCTTTTAAGCAGAGAGGAAGACAAAAGAAATGGATATATCATTTCAATCATTCATTCATTCATTCAACAAATAGCAATTGATTGCCTTCCATGCACCAAATGTTGTGCTAAGTAATAAGGATACAACGGCGAACTGGTTGGACAGGACCATATTCTAAAAGACTGGAGTCAGGTAGTAAAGATAGATCTCTGTTATCCAGTATGGTAACTATTAGCTGTATGTGGCTATTTAAATTTAAATTAATTAAAATTAAACGAAGTTAAAATTCAGAGTCTCAGTAATATTAGCCACATTGAAGTGCTCAGTGGCCATATCTATCTCGTGGCTACCACAGAAGACAGTGCAGATATAGAAAATGTTCATTGTCACAGAAAGTGCTATTAGACAATGGACCAATAGACTGCTAATTAAGAAGTTATGGCACAGGGGCACCTGGGTGGCTCAGTCGGTTGAGCATTTGACTCTTGGTTTCAGCTCAGGTCATGATCTCATGGTCATGGGATGGAGCACTGTGTCAGGCTTTGTGCTAGGAGTAGACCATGCTTGAGATTCTCTCTCTCCCTCTCCCTCTGCCCTCCCCACCCCCCCCCCCCTGCACATGCTCCTCTTTCTCTCACTTTCTCTCTCAAAAAAAAAAAAAGTTATAACACAGTTGATAAGTGCAGTGATATGGATATACAGATTACTATGGGATAACACGGATAATAGCAAGCCTCAGGAAGTTGAGGAAGGCTTTCTAAAGGAAGTGACATCTATAGTGAGTCCTGAAGGATAAATATAAGTCATATAGGGAAACAACTGGGAAGCACTTTTCAAGAATAGCTTGTACAAAAGTCTGGAAGTGAAAAGAAAATGCTATATTGAATGTACTGAGATGAGGCAGGAAATGGAAGAAGGTGCCAGATCATGTAGAGTCTTATACATTATTTTCAGAAGTTGAGACTTTACAGCCAATTTCTTTATTTAGTTCTCCTCACTGATAGCCATATTTTGAGTTAGTCAGAAATCTATAAAACCTTAGTGATAAGTTGGGCAACTGTTAAATTGTTTGAATTTACATTTAGTCTTCCTAAATGTCATGATAACAAACAAGGTTTCTCTTTTTGAACTATAAAGTCAAAAATTTATTCCTGACATCAGTATGAAATACCATTTCAGTTATATTCCATTTGTTAGAAAATTTAAAATGAGGGGCGCCTGGGTGGCTCAGTTGGTTAAGCGTCCGACTTCAGCTCAGGTCATGATCTCGTGGTTTGTGAGTTCAAGCCCCACATCGGGCTCTGTGCTATCAGAGCCTGCTTCAGATTCTGTCTCTCCATCTCTCGGCCCCTCCCCTGCTCATGCTCTGTGTCTGTCTCTCAATAATAAATAAACGTTAAAAAAATTTAAAAAAAATTTAAATGATTCTTAGTGGTAAAGAAGTTATCTATTTTGTAGTATGTTTATGTTTCATTACTCTGCTGATTTTATTTTAGGGTGATGAGGAAACATTTGAAAATTATTACCGAAAACAAAGGAAGAAACAAGCAAGACTGGTATTGCAGCCCCAGTCAAATATGGTAAGTTAGGTGAACATTTTGAATTGGTTATATTGTCACTTTTTTACCTCTTACCCTGCCTTAATTTCTTCAGAGCATGTATCATTATTCATTCAACAACAAATATTTATTGAATATCTACCATTTCCAATAATTGGTTTAGGTGCTAAGGGTATAGCAGTGAACAAAACAGGTAAGTCCCTTCTCTCATGAGCTTACATTCTATTAGAGATAGATAGTAAACAAATAAAATAGTGAATAAATAAAAAGAGAAATAAGAGGATTATATAAAGTATTAGGGAGTGATAATTCGTTTCTGACAATATGGTAGACTATGTACTTGGATTAATTGTTCTACTGACAAAACAACTAAAGATGCTGGATAAAACATTTAAACATTTTAAAAATTATTTTTAACTGCACTGAGGATTTGGTAGAAAAGTATAGTTAGGAGAAAAACTAAGTGAATATGGAATTGCTCTGTATGGAATTGCACTTGTGATAATTATATGACTAGATGTGTTTGTGAAAACAGTGCATGAAAAAGTGAGTTTTATTGTACGTAATTTATACAGTATATTTCACTATAGAACAAATAAAACAGGGAAACCTAAATGAAGGCAGAAATCCAGATAGGTTTAATTAAGCACTAATTGTGGCTTTTATCTTAGAGGCATCTGTTGAATGGGAAAGCATGAATTTTGAGGACATGGGAGTACAGAGAGCCACCCAAAGTAGCTGATAAGAGGTTGTCTCCCTTGTGAAGCTAAGACTCCAAAGAATTAGAGCCTCATTATTAGGATGACCTAGAGATAAAAAACATCTGGGGGCACCTGGCTGGCTCACTCAGTAGGGTATGTGACTCTTGATCTTGGGGTCATGGGTTTGAGCCCCACATTGGAAGTAGAGATTACTTAAAAAAAACAAATGGACACAATGTTATATATTTTAAAGATCTAGCAAAACCTCTCTGTTGTTTCCTCCACACACTGTAAGGACATTGCTTATCTTAAATGTTGGTGCTGAAGGAACAAGGCGAAAAAAGATCTCTGAGAATACATAACAAGTGGATTCTCACATGTGTTTGCCACACAGATTTATTCTACTTGGATAATTGAAAAAAATCTCAGGTTGAAAATTTAGTTTGAAGTATTTCTATGCTGATATTGCCAGTAGAAGCAAATGCAGATCTCTGAACTTTCATATCATAATTTCAAGGAAAATTAGCAAATCACAGTCAAAAATAATTATAAAACAACTGAGAATCATTAAAGATATTGGCAACAGAGGGACTCCTGGGTGGCTCAGTTAGTTGTGTCTGACTCTTGATTTCAGCTCAGGTCATGGTACCGTAGTTGTGGGGTCAAGCCCTGCATTGGGCTCTATGCTGACTGTGGAGCCTGGTTAAGATTCTCTTTCTCCTTCTGCCCTTCTCCCCTGCTTGTGCTCTCTCTGGAAAAAAAAAATATGTGTGTGTGTGTGTATACATAAATATATAATGTAGGCAACAGAAATAAATCCTAATAAGAGACTTTTAGTGTTTGAATTGTTAGCCACTTATTTTTATTTATTTATTTTTATTTATTTTGAGAGAGAGAGGGAGAGAGAGAGAATCCCAAGTGCGCTCCACACTGTCAGTGCAGAGCCTGAGTTCAAACTCATGAACTGTGAGTAACTGTGAATTTAATGCAAATTAAAACTATAGTGAGATACCACTATCTACCTACTAGACTGACTAAGATTAAAAAGATTTATGATAGATGCCCCAAATTATTAGCCATTTAATATAGTAATTATTGAATATATTTAAATAGAAAGCAAGCTTGCTGATATAAATAGGGAACAAGAAACTGTAAATACTTACCAAAATGAAGAAAAATCAAGTGGAATACCTAGAAATTGAAGATCTACTAATCAAAATTAAAAATTTTATGAATAGGTTTAGCAGTTGATGAATTCTTAGTTGATTTGAAGAGATTACTTTGAAAGCCTCACAGAGAGATGAGAGGATAAAAATACAGAAGAGAGACAGAGGGGATACAGAGAGCAAGTCTAACATATCTAGTTGGAATTTCAGAAAGAGAAGCTAGAACAAGTGAGACAGAAGAGTATTTGAGGGCATAATGGCTGAGAAGTTTCCAGTATGGACAAGAACTATAAACTTTTACAGAGTCATATCCAAGGAATCCCAAGTAAGTTAAGTAAAAAGAAATACATTCTGAGAGATCTTATAATGAAATCGCAGACCATAAAGAGAAAATAGAAGACCTGAAAAATAGTATCAGCTAACTTTAGTTAATTGACATTTATTGAATACTCCTCCCCAAATAGCAGAATGTGCATGCTTTTCAAATGCACATAGAAGGTTTACCAAGGTAAATCAAATGCTGGGCTATAAAATCTCAGGAAATATAAAAGACTTGAAATCTTTTGACTACAAGATAATTAAATTATCCATATGCAAAAAAATACTTTTACCTCAATCAGCAATTCAAGAAATGGACCCAAATGCAAGAGATGAAACTTTAAAACTTTTAGAAAAAAAATAAAGGGTAAAATCTTTGTGACCATGGGTTAGGCAGTATTTTCTTAAGTGAGATACCTAAAGCATAAACCATAAGGTAAAGAAATTGTTAAATTGAACATTAAAATGAAGAACTACTCTTCAAAAGGCATTGCCAAGAAAGTGAAAAGACAAGACACAGATGGAGAGAAAATATTTGTAAAACTCATGTCTAACAAAGGGCTTATATTCAGAATATAAAAGAATTTGTATAACTATAAATAATTAAAGCCAAACTAATGGATAAAAGATCCAAGTAGACATTTGTCTAGATATACAAATGAGAAATAAGCACATGAAAAGATGTTCAATATCAATGTTTCATCAGGGAAATGCAAATTAAAACCACAGTGAGATACCACTACATACTTACTAGACTAGCTAAAATTAAAAAGATTGATCATAGCAAGTGCTGGTGAGATGTGGAGCATCTGGAACCCTCATGCACTTCGGGTGGGTATAAAAACTATGGTGCCGCTTTGGAAAATAGTCTGGCAATTTGTTACAATGTTAAGCATGCACTTATGCTACAACCCAGCCATCTTACTCCTAGGTTTTTACCCATGAGAAATAAAAACAGTGGCATATTTTAAATGCTAAAGGAAAATAACTGTCAACCTAGGATTCTATATCCAGTGAAACAAAGGCAAAGATAGACATTTTCAGACAAAGAAGAGGAGAGTTTGTTACTAAGACACCCTTACTAAGGAAATTGTAAAGAATCTACTTCAGGCAAAAGGAAAGTGGTGCCAAATGGAAGATATGAGATGCTGGAAGGGATGAATAGCAAAGAAAGTATAAATATGTGAGTGAATCTATGTCAACCATAGAAAATAATGTTAGTAAAATATTATGGACTTTAAAACAAGATAAAATTAAAATACACAACAAAAGCATAAATGTGAGGTAGGAGTTAATGAAATGAAACTATACTACAGTTTTCTGAATTGTCCAGAAGAGTAAAAATATTGATTGATTTTAGGGTTTGATTATTTAAGTATGCATAATGCAATTTCTGGGGTAACCAGTAAAAGAGTGGAAACAAAATATATACTTTCATATAATAATAAAAAATCTAGAATGATAAAAAATAAAATATTCATGTCTTAGTGTTGATAAAAAATAATTGAAACCTATAAGCACTTGATAACATCGACTCAAAATATTTAATACAAGATTGCCAAAACTGAAAGGATAAATGGGAAATCTGTAGTGGATTTTTAAGCATGTCTCAGTATCTTATACACCAAATAGATAAAATATCAATAAGAATATACAACATGCTTAACAGGCCTGTTCTAATAAACCATATAGAAGCCTGTTTCAACAACTGTAGAAACCTCTTCTTTTCAAGCACACATGGCGTATTATAAAATGTGACTAATACACTATCTAATAAAGCAAGTATCCAGAAATACCAAACATCTGGTCTCATGTAGATTCCATTCTCTCTGATCATATTTTATTTTATGTATTTATTTAAAAAAATTTTTTTAACGTGTATTTATTATTGAGAGACAGAGAGACAAGGAGCATGAGCAGGGGAGGGATAGAGAGAGGGGGAGACACAGAATCCAAAGCAGGCCCCAGGCTCTGAGCTGTCAGCACAGAGCCTGACGCAGGGCTTGAACTCACACACTGCGAGATCATGACCTGGGCTGAAGTTGTTTGTTCAACTGACTGAGCCACCCAGGCGCCCCATCTCTGATCATAGTATTTTAAAGCTGAAAGGTAAAACTATTTCTTTCCCCACAACCTGAAAAAAAACCCAGATGTTTGAAAAATTTTTTTAGATGTTTGAAAATTTTGATCACATTTATAAAATATGCAAAATACAGCATTTGAATGTAATTAAAATAATGAAATATTTCATGTAATTAACTTCTAAGAATGAAGTTCAAATGGTCAAATATTTTCCTGTATACCTTTTGTTAAAATTATTAACACGCAATTGTAGATCATTTTTAAGGAGTTTGACTTTTATTGTGAATCAGATATAAAGTCATTGGAAGGTTTTTAGTAGAAGATATAATGATCTGATTACTCTTTGAAAAGTATCATCCTGGCAGGTATCTGGACAATAGACTGAAGGGAGCAAGCCTAAAAGCTGGGGAGATTAGGTAGGAGAATGATATAATAGCCCGAGTGAGAAATTATGGTGGCTTGAACTTCTTCTGTGAAGAAGGTTTTGAAGTTATATTTACTTTTTAACTTGTTTATTGTCTTTCTCTTTTTGAATGCAAGTTCCATGAGGGTAAGGGCTTTTTGCTTTTTACCAGTGTAACCCTGATACCTTAAAAATGTATGCAGCATATAGTAGACCCTCAATAAATATTTGTTAATAAATATTGTAGTGACTTGGAACTTACTTTTATGTTACTGGTATTTATTGGTTTAAATTGATTTTTATTTTTCATTTAAAGCATGAAACAGTTGATGGCTATAGAAGATATTTCACTCAAATTGTAGGGTATGTATCTAAAATGGAGATTAATATTATTTTTATATTATGTTAAATGTCAGAACTGCTTGTTTTCTGTTTGGGTTTTAATTTTTTTTTTTTTTTAACACATGCTATGTTGGTAATTACTGTTTTTAGGTTCTTTGTGGTGGAAGATCACATTTTACATGTGACCCAAGGATTAGTAACCAGGGCATACACTGATGAACTTTGGAACATGGCCCTCTCAAAGATAATTGCTGTCCTTAGAGCTCATTCAGTAAGTCAGCCAAATTATGTTACTAAGTTTTTAATGCAGTTACTTCAGGAACTTCTGAAATGCATGATGTCAGAAGAAAACCGTACCTCCATCATTCTGCATTTTTGGTAGCAGCTCAGATTTGGAAGCAGTAATGTTAGGCTTTTGTCTGGTTATACTGGGTTGTAATTTTGCAACTGACTGGGGCTTCCCAAAACATTTTTAGTCCAGCATTAATAGAAAATGAAGAATTAAGCTGGTCTCATTAGTCTCAACTGACCTCTTCATTAGATCACTGAAAAGCACCGTGAAGAAAGGGTTTTTAATTATCATTCCAAATTCTTTGTTTCCAAAATAAACTCCACCATTAAAACTCAATAGAACTTGTTCTTCGATGTTTATAATTTGTTTGCAGTAATATAATTACAGATTTCTTAAAAATACGCAATTGTCAAAATTTAAACCATTTGAAATAATGAACTTCTATGTAATGGGAAATTTTTTTATGCATTAAAGTAAAATGATCAAATATTTGCATAATACACCTTTTGTGGAAATAATACACTAGTACTATAAAGACTGTTGAAACTAATAATTGCTTATTGTAGATGTTTTCTTAAGACAGTTTTAGTAGCTTACCTTCAGTAAAATCTCCCCATACTTAAAATTTTGTAATTACTTATAATTTTATTATTAGGAATAGAGATTGAAAACATTTTAAAGGATTATTAGCTTATATAGTATTTAGATTTTAAATATACATTTTTTATTTATCAGGAATGTAGATTCTTTATACACTTGCTTGTCCAATGAACTATAACTTTTTCTAACATATTAAAGAATAATTATGTTATGGTCTTTCCCTAAGAATTTTTACTGAATACAGGAAGCCAGCCATGGATTTAACTAATAATCAAGATTTTAAATTTATTATAAGCCTGGCATATTAAAGGAAAATGTTTCAGGTTTTGTTTTCTGGTTTATATTGTTTTCTGGTTATATTTTATTTGACTCTGGTTTATATTTGTTTTCTTTGTTTGTATTTCCACCCCTCCACCTCTACCCCAGTCTTATTGTACTGATCCTGATCTTGTTCTGGAGCTGAAGAATCTCATTGTATTATTTGCAGATACTTTGCAGGTGGGTGATAATATAACATTCAATTTATGACTATTTGAGCACTTAAAGATATATAAAATACAGATCATTTTCATTTATTTTATTACGGATTAGTGGTGGTAAATTAGTAGTAACCAGATGTTTGCTTATGTATTGGTATTCCCTATTACCAAGACTTTTCATTCTTCCCCCCTTCCTGATTATGAACCCTGGACAGAACTCAGGGAATATTATCGTCTTTTAAAATATTGATTATTCAGAGAGAATAGATAAAGTATTTCTTTTTTAGATAAATCATTTTCGTAGTTAAAGAAAAAAAAGTCCATGTTATAGTGAAAAGAACCCTGAACTAGAAATTAGAAGATAAAGGGGCACCTGGGTGGCTCATTTGGTTGGGCATCCGACTTCGGCTCAGGTCATGATCTCATGGTTCATGGATTCGAGCCCTGTGTCAGGCTCTGTGCTGACAGCTCAGAGCCTGGAGCCTGCTAAGGATTCTGTGTCTTCTTCTCTCTTTGCCCCTCCCCCACTCGTGCTCTGTCTCTCTCAAAAAGTAAATAAACATTAAAAAAAAGTTAGAAATTAGAAGATATAAGCACTGCCTTGGGAAGTCACACATGACCCTGAGTTTATATTCTGCCCCTACTATTGACTAATTATATGTTTATAGGTTTTCTTAACTTTAGATCCTCATTTGTGAAAATCGGGTTATTATTAGTTTTCAGGATTGTTTTAAGTGTGATAATAAATATGAAAACATAGTTTGAATTAAAAAAAAAGAAAACATATAGTTTGAAAGCTGTTTCCACTCATTTCCTTCCTAATTTTAGGTGTACTATGACAATGACCAAATCACTTTACTTCTTTGTGTCTTGTTTTTTTTCTTTTTAAAAATGAGGTTTAAACTGAATTGTCTCAAAACTCAATGCCTTTGTGATTTTCAGTATCAAAGTTTTAAGCTTGTCCCTTTTACTTGATCACGGATGGGCAAGAATTGATTGCATTTTGTTTTCATGTTTAAACTTAAGGGATTTTTATGGTTGGAATAACATTTCCTGAAATATAGATTGGCATTTTCCAAAGTGTGATAATAGATGTTACTTTAAAAGGAGTTCTGTGGTGAAAACATTTGGGAAATAAGTGAAGTAAAACAGACTTCTCCACTAATAGCCTCTTCAGAGCAAATTTATACCATATGATTCCAAAAGGAAGGTGCTTATGCAGCATTTTCCCAATATATTTGAGCTTTGAATCTTTTTCCGCCATATGACATCTTGTAGGTATAGAGCTTCATGTAATATGTTTTAGGAAGTGCTAATTTAAACTATTTGCTTCATCATTAGAGTTTTTACATCCTAGAATAATAGTTGTCTACTTTGTTCTTAAACTGAAGAAGATTCAACAAGTTCCTTTAGTAAATTGTTTTATTGTCTTATATCTTTATTAATTTGTATGCCTTATACTGTAACAACAGGATAATATGGATTTTTTGTTTTTGTAAATTTTGTGACAAATATACCTGTAATATTATTGATTTCTCTGCAAAAAAAAATTTTTGGTAAGTTTTATTGGAGACCACCTTAATTTTTTTAGGTCTAGCTGTAAGTAACTTGAGGGAGTTTTGCTATCCTTAATGACTTAAAGCATTGCTACTTAAAGCATGGTGGGAATACCACTCACTGGTCCAGAAATGTTACTAGTCCACAAATTATTTATTATGGATCTATAACATAAAGGAGCTTCTGTCCGAATGTAAATCAACTACATTACTAAGTACAAAATTTAGCTTAGTTGGCATATATTTTGTAGCAAGAATTTATGTAGGTTAGCCTCATTCATTTATATTCTGGTGCAAGCTCCTTATCTCTTGGTAAGCCATAACAAACTGTTCTTGAACTGGCACTTTGAGTACAACTGAATCTAGAAAATTTCTATGGTTCCAAGGATTTCTCTAGAGAATCAAAGAAGGGTAATAGACAATATTCAGGTAATAGAGGCATTAGAAAGTAACAGTGATAGGTGTATAAGCCCTCGTAAGCATACCTTTCTAATCTTACTGCTTTGAAATAAGATTGAGGAGGACAAACCAATCCATATTACTTATTCAGAAATCCTGCAATATTTTCATTCCACTGAAAATTGACAGGCTGAGTATTAGGTAGGTCTTACACACTGTAGTCAAGTTATACCTTTTAATTAAAGAATTGGGGAGGGTCTTTTCATAAAAACTAGAAAACATTGCATAATATTTAGTTTTTAAAATTGGCCCTTTGCCACCCTAAGGAAAGTTTTCTTTTCATATGTCATTTTATTACTTAAAACAGTGCTGACTAAACAATAACATTAAAAAATAACACCAACATATTATAGTTCTGCTTACTATGTATTAAGTAAATCACAAGTAAACATTTATGATTCATTACTAACATTTTTTGAGCACCCACTATGTGCTAGTAGCTAGATGATATATAAAATGATAGAGACCTAAAAATCAGACAATAGGGAAATAAAAATTCTTCAATAAATTTACAGTTTAAACAGATAAGATGTATAAGACATACTAATATAGCAATATATTAAAAACCTTTGGGCTCACAGAAGATGGAATGTCTGACTTTAATTCTAGGTTGGGAAAGTCTGTACAGAAAGTTGAAATGGGAGTTGGGTTTTAAAAGATGAGTTCAGCAAATACACACTAGGAAAGGGACATGAATGACAAAGGAAATAAAATACCATGTGTAAACTGTAGATAGAGGGATAGTATGGTGATAGAAAGAAGATGGGTGTGAGCAAAGAAGGGCAAATAGTGGTAATGAAACTGACAAGGTAGTTTGACCCAGATTATGGCAGGTCTTGTGGGACTTCAGTAAGTCTTCTGTAGTTTTTTTTTTTTTTTTAATTTTTTTTTTCAACGTTTATTTATTTTTGGGACAGAGAGAGACAGAGCATGAACAGGGGAGGGGCAGAGAGAGAGGGAGACACAGAATCTGAAACAGACTCCAGGCTCTGAGCCATCAGCCCAGAGCCCGACGCGGGGCTCGAACTCATGGACCGCGAGATCGTGACCTGGCTGAAGTCGGACGCTTAACCGACTGCGCCACCCAGGCGCCCCAGTCTTCTGTAGTTTTTAACCAGGGGGATGGGGTGATCAGATTTGCACTTTTAAATGATAATCTTGAGAGTCTTTGCAATAGATTGAGTTGGAAGAGACAGATGGTTGGAATTTCAGTTTAGGAAGCTCTTATAATGGTCTAGCAAGAGATGTGGCAGACCAAAATAAAGCAGTGGCACTGGGAATATTTCTGGAAAAAAGAAAGTAAGTGGTGGAGAAGAATGATGGATTTGAAAGAGATTTGTTAAGGAGGTAAAATCAAAAGGATTTGTTAAATGATATGTTTGAGTGTGGGGTAGTTTAAATGTTTTTCAAGTTTCTTCCTAATAACTGAATTGATGGTAGAACTATTAACAGAGATAGGAAATAGGAAAAACACTTGGTTTAGTTAGAAATGGAAGAGATAAGCTAACTTTAGTGTGTTTGCTTGCTGGCAGCCTCATTGGAGATGTCTAACAGGTGTTGGAGTCAAATATTTGGAGTTTCCAAATAACTAGAGATGTAGATTCAGAATAATCAGAGAAAATAGTGTTTGAAGTCAGTAGACTTCACATTATGCTAGAGACCTAGAAGAAAAACATCGAAGGATGGAGATAGAAGAAAAAGGAAAACTGGAAGAACTGTTCATAGATAAAAGGAGAACAAGGAGAGAGAGTGATGTTACAGAATTCAAAGTAGACAGGTTTCAAGAGAGAGGTAATGTAGAGTGAGAGATCATTGACTTTTATATTTAGGAGGTAATCTGTGACATTGTTGAGAGAAGTTTTAAAGGAATAGCAGTGGGAGTTAGATTGTGGTAGGTTTGGCTATATGAAGAGAGTACAAAGGGAGGCAGCTGGCAGTCACAGCAAATTGAGGAAGGCTTTTTTTGTTTTTCTTACTATTGTTTCTTATTTTTCTTGGCTTAAAGATGGGAGGTCATTTAGCATATTTATTTAGCCAAGGGAAAGGAACTAGTGGAAATTAAAGACAATGGTGAATAAATAATCCATGAAACAGTTCCTGCAAGCAGAGTAGGATCAAAAATAAAGAAGAGGGAAACCTTGAAGGGGAAAAAGGACAAATCTGTAAGGTGGGCAGAAATATTTGGTCCTGAAATGGGTAAGATTTCAATGAATTTCGAAAGGAATAAAGTTTTGGAGAGTGTATATTTGATGGAAAGGTGTATATTTCCCCTGTACAGTGAGGTCAATCTTAAATTGAAGGTGCAAAATGAAGCTAGTGTGTTTCAGACAAAATATATTCTCTTTTCTTCTTTTATCCTTTTTTAGGGCCACTTCCCAAGACACCATTATATATGCAGGTCACTAATCTTGAACTTTTTCTCCAGTTTTGACTTCTACTACTTTTGAAGGTTAACCATGTAATCCAGACTGAAAAGAGAGAGGAGAAATGGAAAAATTATTCCAGCTTCATAAAAGTCTTTCTAAACTCTCTTATCTCATGCAACCTAGTAGAAAGTCAAAAGGATAACTTATTTTTATGCTGTTGGAATGACATACAATATGATGTAGTGATCACTTGCAAATAGTTCTCCAATATTTTCAACATTTCTCTAATGTATACCTTTACTTATTTCACTTGTTTATCTGCTTGTGTTGTGTTTTAGGGTTATGGTTTTCCAGTGAACCGACTTTTTGACCTTTTATTTGAGATAAGAGAGCAATACAATGAAACACTGCTTAAGAAATGGGCTGGAGTTTTCAGGTTAGTCTAAAGCCATGGAACCTTAATGTAAAGAAAAAGTTTGTTATATACTTTAGAATATAAAAATGCTTATATGATTTCGCATTTAGCAATAAAAATGCTTATAATTATTTTTTATTGTGGTAAAATATACATAACAAATTTTGCCATTTTAACCTTTTTAAAACGTACAGTTCAGTGACATTAGTATATTTATGTTGTTGCAACCATCCCCACTATCCTTTTAGAAATTTTTCATCTTCCCAGACTGAAACTGTACAAATTAAACATTTACTCCTAGTCCCTTCTTCTAGCCCCGGCAATCACCATTGTAGTTTGTCTCTATGAATTTGACTACTCTCTGTATTTTATGTAAGTGGACTTATACAGTGTTTGTTTTTTTGTGTGTGTCTGGATTATTTCACTTAGCATAATGTTTCCAAGTTTCATCCATGTTGTAGCATGTACCAGAATCTCATTTTTCAAGGCTAAATAATATTCCACTGTATGTATATCACATTTTATTTATCTATTCATCTTTGATATTTGGGTCATTTCCACCTTTTGGCTGTTGTGAGTAATGCTGCTATGAACACTGATGTATAAATACATGTTTGAGTTTCTGTTTTCAGTTCTTTGGAAAATATACCCAGAAGTGGAATTGCTGGATTATATGGCAGATATATGTTTAATAAATTGAGGAACTGCCATACTGTTTTCCATAATGGCTGAAAGACTTATAATAAAATTAAAAAAAATTTTTTTAGATGTTTATTCATTTTTGAGAGACAGAGTTTATAGGTAGGGTGAGGCAGAGAGAGAGGGAGACACAGAATCCAAAGCAAGCTCCAGGCTCTGAGCTGTCAGCACAGAGCCCAGCACAGGGCTCGAACTCATGAGCTGTGAGATCATGACCTGAGCTGAAGTCAGAGGCTTAATCAATTGAGCCACCCAGGCGCCCCTATAATAAATTTTTAATTGAACTACTTTTAGTTCTAATCTCTGTAGTTTGTTTTCCCCAATAAATGATAGATGTAAGGCTATAAGTATTCAAAGGTATTTAGTATTAGAAACAGAGATTTATAGCTTTTAAATTTTGTTTGGAAGGGCGCCTGGGTGGCTCAGTCGGTTAAGTGTCTGACTCTTGGTCTTCAGTTCAGGTCATGATCTCGCAGTCCTGAAATTGAGCCCTGAGTAGGGCTCTGCCGATGGGCTCTGTCAGGCTCCTCCTCTGTTTGCTTCTCCCCTGCTTGCACGCGCACGCGCACGCGCTCTCTCTCTCTCTCCTCCCCCACCCCCCCCACACACAAAATAAATAAACTTAAAAAAATAAAAAGTAAATTTGTTTGGAGAAAGTGCTGTTTTTACAAACAATGTAACTAGACTAAAAATCTTTAAAGCATCTAATTAGGAAAATTACTTTTGCTTTAATCACTTGCCTGCAGGGTATGGAAAAAGTATTTTATAATCTGTTATAATCTGTATAACTTTGTATTGCCATGAAAAGAGAAATCTGTTCCCTAATTCTAAAATCCTTTATCCCTCCATCCTCCTTCCCTCCCCCCTCCTCCCCTTTCCCCTCTCTTCCTTTCTTTTTTTTTTTCTTTCAAAAATAAAAATGTAGGGGCGCCTGGGTGGCGCAGTCGGTTAAG